GAATATTAAAGAATTCTGCGAGAGGCTGGGATCGGCACTTGTCGTGTTGAGCTCGGACTGGAACAACGAACGACATTATATGCGGTAGGCTGCGGTCGGCGCGCTTCCATTTGACATCCGATTGAAAACCAGACCGGACATGTGAGATTTTTGCAGGAGGGCTCCTCAGGAGGCTCCTCGGGATTCCCTGGGCATCCTCAGGCTTCCTCGGATTAACTCAAGATTACGCAGGTGTCCTTCGGCTTCAGGACTCTTCAGCTTTCCTGCCGTCCCCCTTGGATCCCCGAGGAACGCCCAGGAATCCTGAGGAGGCCATCTCGCTCCCAGATGTACGCTCCAGACTGCCACTGGATATCACATGGGCTTCTCCCTGCTAACCTCGTCAAGATTAATCTCAACAGTTGCTGGCACGTCATGTCGATGTCGGCGCGCCCCTCAATGTCGACACGCCGCCCCTTCAATGTCGGGGCGAGGGCAAAGATAGTCTGACCGAAGTTGACTCGAAAGTTTGACGCCGACCAACATTGGAGGGGCGGCGCATGCAAGTACCCCGCACTCATCGATACTCGGCCCCAGATCTTCCGACAAGCAGTTCAACCACGTCAGACATTTTTGAGGTTAATTGTGACGAGGGTTGTGGGACTCCTCGAGCCGAGCACCCGTGGAAGGCCCCGCCCCCCCCCGCGCGACCAGCAGCCGACCAGCAGCCTGCCCTCTCCCCGGAAGGAAGCCCTCCCGACGGCCTCCTCGGAGGAGGGGGGGCGCCCAGCGCCTCTGGGCCTGGCGCGTGCCCCCTGCGCCTCCACAGGAAAGGGGGCGGGTGGGCGTGGCGGCCCGCGGCGCCGGCCGCGGCCGGGGCCGGCGCCGGCGGGCGGGGGGCGAGCTTCTCGGGTCGGGCGAAAGGGGGGGATTGGGAAAGGGGGGGTTACGAAATCTGCTGCATGCAGCTGGTTTCGGCCCCACCGAGGGGCCCATTCCTCGATACATAGCCGCTTCCGGCGCCAGGAGGCGCCGGGAAAATCAGCTACGTGAGCTGATTCTCAAACCCCCCCTTTGCTATCCCCCCCTTTTGCCCGACCCGAGCTTCGGAGTCAGAAAAGAGATCCTGGGGACGATGCTTCGAAGATGTTTTCGCTGAACGGGGGCATTCTGGGGGACGATTCTGGGGACGATTCTGGGCACGATTCCGGGGGATTCAAAACAGATGCTGGGGGATTCTGGGGACGAGTCTTGGATCTGTCTGGGGTGCTTTTTGTGCTTCTCGTCAAAAAAAATCGCCCTGCGGGGGGGGGCGGGGGGGCATGCCCGACCTATAGCCCTGGCCTCGCCGGCCGAGGGCCCCAGGCATCTCTAGCGCCTCGGAAAAGCCGCGGCTCAGGGGTTTTCCACCGTGGTCGGCCCCTCGGGGGCCCTTCTCCGCTGCTCCTTCCCCTGCTCGTCTCGGCGCCACATCCAGCATGCTGAGACCGGGCGCGCGTCGCCCCGCCTGGGGCGACGCGCGCACCGAGGAAGATCTTGCAGTACAGGCCTCGGAGAAAAATAGCGAACACTCATGCCACATTCATCTGTGAACGCCTTTCCCTCCCCCCAGTGTTCAAAGCTGGCGGTGGGTCTGAGGAGTTGCACCTCGACCGCAGTGTCCCCCGCGCGCGCCAACCTTGAGTTTGGGGGGCAGGGGGGGTGTTCACTAATTGTTTCCCTCTACCGTATGGGCGTCGTGGCGGGCGCTCTCTGGCCGTGCCGCTCGGGAAAAGCGAGAGGATATATACGACAGGATGGGTCGATCGGATGTTCGGGCTGGGCGCGCCCCTCCACGGAGGAGCTGCAGAGTACCAGCATGTTTCTGTGCGTCCCATCTCGTCCCCCTGCCGGCGCCACGAGGGGGGAGGTATGCTCCCCTGACCTTCCAGGAGGGCTAGAAAATAGCACCCGACCTAAAAGCCTGTCCCAGAGCTATTCTACGTCTTGGTTTTAGGACGTTTCGTTGAGTTTTTAAGGTTGTTTCCAGGCCCCCCGCGCTGAAAAACAGAGCTCTCTGGAAGGTCAGGGCATGCTCAGGGGCCATGGGGGGAGCATCGACCGCCCGTCGCCCACTCGTCGCCGATCGGGCCCCGGGCGGCCCCGCCCCGCCGCCCCGGGAGCGCTCGGCGCGGGCGCCATCCCGGGGCCCAGGCTGCCGGCCTCTGTCGGCGCTGCCTCGCCGCGGCCGCGTCGAGGTGCCCCCCGATCGGGGCGGCACCTCGGCCCGGCCGCGGCCTCTGCCGGTCGGGGGGGCACCTCGACCCGGCCGCGAGGCCTCGCCGCGGCCTCTGTCGGCGATGCCTCGCCGCGGGAGGGGGGGCACCGGCTCGAGCCGGTGCCCCCCCTTCGCCTGTGCTCCCGTCGCCACCTTCTTCCGCCCTGCCTCTGCTAATAAAAGCTGTGCGCGTCCCGCTCAGCTGTCAGCGGAAGAGGTTCGTTCTCGCCCTGCAGATCAAAGAGTGTTCCCGTCGCCGTCGCCCCTGCCTGCGCGGGCGCAGCGCAGTGCCTTTTTTCCCGGTCCCTGCCTGCGCCCCCTCCTCTCCGTCCGCACCGTCCTCGCTCACCGAGCGCGTTCCACTAGCTCGCAGAGCGCCTGCTCGCAAGCGCATGAAAAAAACACGTGTGTCTGCTTTGATGTAGTTTATCGTGGAGCCTCCGCGGGGGATCCAGGCCATTTGCGAGTAGTCACTTTGCGAGTAGTGGAACGCGCTCGTCTATTCGCGCTCGTCCTCAGGACGAGCACCATCCACCAAACCACCCCTAACCCAACCCGCAGGCCTCAAGTCGCTCTCCATTTCCATGGGGGGGGGTCGGGGAACGTTGAGAAAACACACATGGGACCCCGCACCCCCCCCCCCACCCCACCCCGATATTCGGGTCTTCGGGTTGGGCTGGGGCGGTCTGGTAGGACGTCAGGACGAGCCCGAAGTGGGGGCTCCCCAGGCAGAGCAGATTGCACCCGGCAGCTCGCGCCTGTGCCCTGGCCCGCTCCGCTCGCCCCCGGTCGTCGCCCCCTCCCCGTGCCGGCGTGGGGAGCGGAGGTGCTCATCCTGCCGTGGAAGCTGCTGTGCGCCTGCGTGCCGCCCACGAACCTTGCCGGAGGCCGCACGCGCTGGGCCGCCCCAGGGGAGCCATCGAGGGAAAGGCTTTTTGGGAGCGGAGACGACGGCGAGGGTGGTGTGGCCAGGGCGTGCGACGGACAGGTCAGAGAATGCGGTCGAAGCGAGCGAGAGAGAGAGAGAGAGACAGAATGGGGAGAGAAAGAGGGAAGAGGCAGAGAGAGGTCGCTACCTATAGTTCCTGATCCGCACGGGCCTGCCGCCGAATGTGCTCACAGCACTACGTTAAGTCGGCATTGCAGCACAATTTCTCAACGATGCGAGCCCCGTGCTTGAAGTCCGATCAACAAAAAAAAGAGGAGGAGAAGGAGGAGGAGGAGGTTTGGAGGAGTGGGAGAAGAGGGAGGAGGAGGAGGACCAGTGTAACCTCAAGATGCGTCAACGAGGTTGCAATGAACGCTCCCTTCAAGTTCCCCCTTCTTCCATCTTCGTCACAGGTCCCCGCAGGGGTTCATTTTCGTTGCTGGAAGTGGCACGGCAGAAGACAACCGCATGAGGACCTCTAATCGCGCCAGAACACCATTCCTGGGACTAACGCCGCGGACCAACATGACTGTTGCATCCTGACAATCCTAAATCGTGCCAGATCATGTCCGTGGGACTTCAACATCGCGAATCAACCTGACTGTTGCGTCCTGACATCCTAAATCGCGCCAGGGCGCCATTCCTGGGACTTCAACCATACGATTCCTGGAATATGTCGCACACTTGTAACACGAATGTGCGCGGCGCTGAGGCGAAACCCACACTCTGAAAAGGAACCGCCCCCCCATCCGTGGAATTACTGCACACTTGTAGCAGGCGGCGCTGATGCGTGACCCGTTTTTGGAAAATGGCATGTCCTGAATATTCCAAACGACTGCCTAGTATTCTCGGCGCTAAGCGAGAGCCATATTTTGAAACTCACCCGCCTTCTATCTGTGAAATTGTTGCAAACGTTAGAACGAATGTGCGCGGTGCTAAGGCGAAGGCCACACTTTGGAAACCACCATCCGTGGAGCTGTCGCAAATTCCAAGCTTCAGGATCAGAATTGGTGAGGAAGTCTGAAGCGACACGCCCAGCCCGCCCGGGGGGGGAGGAGGGATGGGGGGAGCATCAGGTGGAAGATGGGGGAGGTGTAAGAGGAAGAGGAAGGGGAGGGGAGTAGGAAGGGATGAGGTCGGATACGGAGGAGTAGGAGGATATGGAAATCTTGTGGAGGAGAAGGGGGGAACAGCACAACAATGAGGAGGATGTCGACGAGGAGGACGAGGAAGTCGCGCGAGGATGAGGGCGAAGGTAGGGATGATGAGGGTGATGGGGAGGGGAGGAGGGGCGGCTCTGCCCCTTCTTGTGCCTGGTTCGTAGGCGCCATCGTCTTCGTCGTCGGTGTCGTCGTGCTCGTCCTCGTCTCGCCGCCCCCGGAGACCCGACGACGCGAGTACAATGACAGCATCGTGGGGAATCACGGCCGCAGCCGCCGACACCCCATCTACAGTCGGGGCCCTGAAGAAGGAACCCTTCTCGTTGGGGAGGGGCTCCGCGTTCCTCAAGTGTTTCGCAGCTTGCCTCAGGTCTAGCTTATGTGTTCGATCGGAAATCGACGGTTCACTTATGGAAAAAAGGGGCCTCGTTCCTTATTTTGGGTTCCTTAGGTCAAGGCCCCGACTGTATCTGCGGCACGTCTCGAGCCAGATCCCTCCGTGAAGGGCCCGAAACTGAGCAAAACTGCCAAGTGCGAGCGTCAAGGGCTCCCACAAGGGCGCGAAGTTATTCGCGCTTCGCGCTTCGCGGTCCTCGTTCCTTCTCCCCCTCCTCCTCGTCCTCCTTTTCTCCCTTTGGGGGGGCGGCGCGAGAGCGCGAAGTTATTCGCGCTTCGCGGAGCGCGAAGCGCGAAGTTCGGAGCCCTTGGGGTCTCCTCCTCGCCGTCGAGGGTCCCGGCAGCCCCGATCTCCTCGCCCCGGGGGGCCCGGCTCCTCGCCCCGAGCCGTGCTGTGGACGGCGCTGGGCCCTGCGCGGGACACGCGAGGCCGAAACCGAGAAGCAATGTCCGCATCGACTTCCTCTGCTCTCCTCTGCTTCCTCTTCCTCCTCCTCCTCCCCCTGCTCCTCCCCTCTCTTCGCCCCCCGCGGTTGCGCGGTTCCGAATGTTGCCACTCGTGCGGCTTCTCCCTCCCGCAGCTTGAGGATTTGAATGGCTTCGAGCCCGTGGCGAAGGGTCACCGCTGCCACTGTTGCTACATGGAGTGCTCATTTGCGTAGGTTGTTCATGGAGTTGGGGCTCTCTTGCGCTGGAAAAAAAGAAGAATAATTTTCCGCATCGATTTTGTCAAGACGTTACATGAGCCACGCAAGAAACAAAAGGGATCGTCTGCGCGGACGCTGGCGCATACAGTCGGGGCGCCGAAGAAGGAACCCTTTTCGTTGGGGAGGGGCTCGGTGTTCCTTGATTGTTTCAAAGTTTGCCTCGGGTTTTCCTGAGGTCTTCCTTGGGAAATCGAGGTTGAACTTATGGGAAAAAGGGGCCTCGTCCCTTATTTAGGGTTCCTTAGGTCAACGCCTCGACTGTAAGCTGTTCGCGCAGGGTCGTGCGTGAGCCTCCTCGTTCCCACCGGCTCGCTGCGCTGGCGGCCCGCGCAAAAGCTGTGGCGTCCAGGTCGGCATGTCCTGTGCTCGCATGCCCCAGCCCCTCGGCGTCGCCGCCGTCGCCCGCCGAAGGCTACGCGACCTTCTGTGCGTCGCTCATCCTCATCGGCCTGATGACCGCCTTCATCGGCGAGCCGCCCCGCTCCGCTCCCCGCGCCCCCGCTCCGCTCTGTCACCGGCGGTGCTTGGCAGAGCACTCTGCCCACCGGCGCGGCACGAACTGACGAGTGGCGCCCAGACCGGTGCAGTTTCGGCGCCGCCGGCGTCCCGCTGGCGAGGCCGTCTCCAAGGACTCCTGCGCGGGCGCCTCCGGGCGCGCGCCCCCGCGCACGTCTGCCGGGCCCCGACCTTCCAGAGAGCTGTTTTTTAGCACTGGAAACCTAAACACCAAAAAAGCTGAACGAAACATCCTAGAACCAAGACGTAGAATAGCTCTGGGAATAGCTTTTTAACGCCGGGAGCTGTATTTTTTAGCCCTCCTGGAAGGTCAGGGGGCCCACCGGCCGGGGGGGGGGGGGTCCAGGCCTCCCGAGCTCCAGGCGTCACAGGTGGAGCCGCAGCAGCTGGGGTCGGAGGATGGCGCCGCAGCGGCGGTGCGGCTCGATGTGGGGCATGAGCGCGCCGAGATCGCCGATGCACGGCCGACGTTGCCGATGCATCGCCGATGCGTCGACGATGCATCGGCGATGCGGCGCGATGCTCTGGCCCAGTCGGGGAGGCCTCGTGCAATCAGGAGGGCCAGAGACACACAGACACCCTTGATCGTCGACTCCCCGGAGAACATGGAAAGACATGGGAGGTGGAGGGGAAGACGAAAACCCAGAAAGTGTGAGAAAATGTGGGGGCTCCTGTTCTTTGTGTCTCTTTCTTTGCGTGTCCCTGGGCCCCTCCCTTCATACGAGAGGGGGGGGGAGAGGAGGATCGCGGAGAGAACATTTTTGGGGACCTTTCGGGCGTCGTCGGGCCCTTTTTGGGGGGGGAACTTCTGGGGCGCCCTCGCCACCACGGCGGGAGCCGTCGTGCCGTTGACCTTCGGCCACGGAGAGGCCGTGGGTCCGGGGTGCTCCGGGCCTCCCCCATGCACGGTAGGTTTGCGCCGCGTCGACGGGCGGCGACGCCGCCCGCGGCGTGCAGCTTTGAACGGCGCGGGCGAGCCAGAATCGTTCGGTGTGGAACGACTCGGACGTTTCGGGAGGAGGCCGATCGTTCGAGGTCGAGCGATCCCCGCGGTGTCGGAAGCCAACGCCGAAGTCGGCACGGCACGAGCCCGACGTGTGCAGCTGGAGTCGTTGGGGTCGGGGTATAAGGCGCCGCATCGCCGCCCTTGGCATCGCTCGGACGTGTGCATTTTTTCTCGGCGAGGACCATCGAGGAGCATCCTTGATCATTTGGCGAAAAAAACACGCACGAAACTGAAAAAAACACCGGGAATGGACGTCCAAGCGATGGCGAGCGCTGCATCGGCGACGCCCAGCGTGGAGAAACTCAGGCTCCGCATCGAGCCGCATTGCCATCTGGAGTCCCCGGTGTTCTCCATCCGGACGTCGTCGATAGACCGCCCATGCGTCGGCGATGAGGCAGCGACCCTCCGGCCCCGTGCGGGAGGCCTTCCCTGGGCTGGCAGGGGGAGGCATGCATCCGCGGTTTGAGACTGTGAACGTCCACCGCCGGGGGAAGCCGACCCTCGCGGACCTGTGGGGGGGCGGTGGATACTGAAGCAGTGGCGAAGCGTCCTGGCGTACCTATAGCCCTACCAAACAATGGTCCAGGAACCTTTTGTGGTTTCCACGAAATGTTCTTAGAACATTTCTGGCGGAGTCTGTCTTGCTGTATCACATCGGGCTTATGCTCTAAGAACATTGCTTTTGTTCTTAGAAAATGTGTGGGTTCTGAGAACATGTCATGTTAGGCCTATAGGAATGCCCGGAAAGTCGGTCCCTGTAGGAATGCCAGGAGGAGGAGGAGGAGGAGGAGGAGGAGGAGGAGGAGGAGGAGGAGGAGGAGGAGGAGGAGGAGGAGGAGGAGGAGGAGGAGGAGGAGGAGGAGGAGGGAGGAGGGGGAGGAGGAGGAGGAGGAGGAGGAGGAGGAGGAGGAGGAGAGAGGAGGAGGAGGAGGAGGAGGAGGAGGAAGGAGGAGGAGGAGGAGGACGCGGGGAGGAGGAGGAGGAGGAGGAGGAGGAGGAGGAGGAGGAGGAGGAGGAGGAGGAGGAGGAGGAGGAGGAGGAGGAGAAAGAGGGGCGCCCCGGGCTCGCTGGGAGGGGCCCGCCGAGACCTCGCCGCGCCCTCGCGCCCAGGCCGCCGCGTGGGCGCTCTCCGTGGGCGCACGACTCCTGCCGCGCCGCCGGCGCCGCACGGTCTGCGCGAGGCACTCTCGCGGCGCACCTCGCGCAGAGGTCTCGCCACATGCTGCACTCACTCCGCACAGCACTGCCGCCACTCAGCTGCCACACCACAGGGGTTCGGTGGTGCAGCTCCTACCTCCAGCTCGCACCACCGTCGCACGTCTCCAGGGCTCGCCGCATAACTCACCACACCGCACAGCTTCCACCACACCAGCTCACACCGCGCAGCTTACACCTCCCCAGGCATCCAGTTGCTCCAATGTGTAAGATGCGTAGGCCCCAAAGTCCAGACCACTTCTCTAGGGACGGTTTTTCGTCCTGAATCGTTATTTGACGCTCCCGAAGCCCGGCGAGGGCCCCCAGAGGCCGCAAACGGCCAAAAACCGCTTGCTCCAATTTTTGTTGGAGCGTCGGATCTCAGGGATAGCTTACACAAGCTATGTCCTTCTGGGCCGCCAGCGGCCCTTCGGCTTAGATCGGCTTCGGTGCCGCGCTGTCGGTTGGGTCGGTTGTTTCGGCGTTGCTGTCGCTGTGGGCGGCCTTCACGAGGAGGAGGAGGAGGATGAGGAGGAGGAGGAGGAGGAGGAGGAGGAGGAGTAGGAGGAGGAGAAGGAGCGGCAGGAGGACGAAGAGGTGCCGCAGTGACGCCGGACGCCCGCCGCGGAAGAGGAGGAGGCAGGAGGTGTCTGCTCACCCCACGAGTCTTTCAGTTAACCCGAGTCGAGAGAGGAGTCCGTCGCTGGAGGCGGGGGCCTCGCTCGTGGCACAATGGAACGGATCCCTGCAGGACTTTCGGCCGACATGCCTGGCCCAGGTGGTCACTGGCTCTTGAGAGGGGCCAGCGCCTGGGTCGCGGATTAGCCGGGGGAGGAGGAGCAGCAGCAGCAGCAGGAGCAGGAGCATGATGGAGGGGGGACGGGGCCGAGGGGCACATCCAATCGATCCCTTGGTGTGTGTGTGTGTTCGCCTTGGCCTCCGCTGCCTCTTCGAGGCGGCCCCCCTTTTTCCCGATCCCGACCACGTTCTAGCTCTTCATTGCTCGTGGCCAGCCCACCAGTCAAGAGTCCGAGGAGCGCGGGCCCGAATGTCATCAGCTGGCAGGCATCTTCGTCTTCATGCCCGCGAGCGCGACCCTATCCAGAGACTTGGTGCCTTCGCTTCATCGATACGCCCGCTTTGATACGCAACACTCACCGTGCTCAAAGTGTCCGTGACAGTACGTTGCGTGTTGGCTCAACGCAGTGGCCCGCGTTTTGGCGAACGCATCGCGTCAGACCTACGTTCTCTGTCTGCTCGTTGAGCTCCGTACCAGCACGCTGCGTTCTGCGTGCCGCGTGCTCGGGCAGCCAAGCTCGGTGCAGAGCAGCCCGCAGCACGAGCGCCAGGCAGCCTGCGGAGAGCTGCCAGCGACGCCACACCCGTCGGCGCTCCGCGGCACGCCCGCCGGCGCGCGGGCGGCACAGGCACCCGGGCAGGCCTCGGGCAGGCTTCGGGCAGGCATCTGGCGATCTGGCGGGGCCGAGCGCGCAGGCAGCACCTCTCCACGGGCTGCGCGCGGTCTGTTGCGCGGCGCGGTGTGGCGTCTCACGTGCGGCATGCCACCCGCGCGTGAAGCAGGGCTCCCTCTGGCGGAGGCGACCCTGTCGCGGCGCTCGGGTGCGGGGCTGGCCTCTGATGGCCTCGCCACGGCCAGCGCCGTGGATGACCTCCAGTGTGGCAGCGCGTTTTGTCTGCTGCAGGGTGTGACGCTGCACGTGCAGCAGTCCACGATGCAGAACGCAAAACAGTGTCCCCCCCGGCGCAGGTGACCTTGCCACGGCGTTCGGGTGCGGGACTGGCATCGATGACCTCACCACGGCCATCACCATTGTTGCGCTGGGCACGTCGCTCCCGGAGCCGCACGCCTCCGCCGCACCTCTTGCCCCCGCCCCCCGCCCTGCGCAAGCGGCAACCACTCGACCCAGGCTTGCTCGTCCATGTTGTGCTCTTCCTCCTCTCCTCATCCCTCTTCCTCTGCCTTCTTCTCTCTCCCTCATCACCGTTCTTCGTGATCCCTTCGCCCTCCTCCCTCCTCCGTCCTCCCTCCTCGTTCCTCCCTCTTCCGCCCTCCCCCCCTTTCCGTCATCCCATCCTTCCTTTCCTCCTCCTTTCTCCCTCCTCTCTCTCTCTCTCTCTCCTCCTTCCTGCTCCCTGAATTCCCCCCTCCTCCTCCTGCTCCTCCTCTCCGCCTGCTCGCCCTCCTCTGTTGTTCTCGTCCTGCTTCTCCGCCTGCCCCTCCTGCTCCTCTTGGAGTCCCAGGCCGGGTGGCTCGCCAGGGGAACTGGCCGTCGTGCGTTGCACGTCCCTTGCGTCGGTCGGCCGTCGGCAAGCTCGCCTCCTGCCCCTCCCTCCCTCCATCCCTCCCTGCACCCCCTCCTCCTCCTCCCTCTCTCCCTCCACTCCCTCCGCCCTCCCTTCTTCCCTCCGCCCCCCCCCCCCCCTCCTTCCCTCCATCCCTCTCTGCATCCCTCCTCCTCCCTCTCTCCCTCCACTGTCCCTCCTCCCTCCCTCCTTCGTCCCTCCGCCCCCTCCCCCATCCCTCCCTCCCTCCCCCCCCTCACAGATGTCCTCTCCCCCAGGGTACAAGAGCACCGCTGCAGGATAGTCCCCTGGCTCATTCAAAACAGTTATTGGTTGTCATTCTTCTCATGGACAGCTGTGCTCATTGTCGAATGGGCTACGACGAGGATGAATACGTTCCAGAGCGGCGTTCCAGAACGCTCTCAGAGCGTTCAGGAAGCTCTTAGAAGGCCGCGGCGCCCGAGACATCCTCCAGAGCCGCCGGATCTCAGAGATTCCCGATTGTGGAGGCTTTACGGAGTGCGCCGCCGACCCTGAATGCGGGACCTCCCCAGGGACCCCCGTTGGCGGCCCCCCCGGGGGACCCGCCTGGACCCTGGGAGGGGGAGCGGTACCATAACCCGGGACCGCTCTCCCCCAACACAGACGGGACCTCCCCCGGAACTCCCCTCCTCACACGGGCCCTTCCTCTGTCCTCCCTGTCCGCAGGGGGACCAGGGAGGGGAGGGATGGCCGCCGGGCCCCCGGGGGGGGGGCGGCAATCTGACACGGGACCCCCCCCCCCCCACCCCCCTTCCCCACCTACCCCCACCCCCCCGTCAGGGAGTGGAAGAGGAGAGGGAATCGACTTGTCTACGATGTTTATTTTCTTTTCTCTGTTCGTTGTTAGATTCCCTTTGGACTGGCGGCGACGACGACGAAGACGATGACAGCGCCTCACACACGCCGAAGGGTCAACGGGATTTGCCCCCACCCGATCTCATCCTCGCCCTGGCTTGGTCTTACATTTTAGAGTTAACACCCGCGCCCGAACCCGATTTGAAGATGCAGCATACAGTGGAGACCCACGCCAAGAAACACCCTGCTTGCCTCCAGGGTGCCCTGGGTTTCTTCGGTTTCGATGGTTTTGCTATGGACAGCGTGACATTCCCACACCAAAAATCAATGGACGTCTTGGGGTCTCAGGGTCGCGTTTCTAGTGGAAGGTTTCCTGTTGTCAGGCCCCTACTGTACGCAAGATCGCCTCGACTGTCGTGGTGGCCGGGGCAAGGGGTGGATCGCAGCTTTTCCAGTCGACTACACGTAAGAGCGACCTCTCGCCAGAGCAACCTCCAGTGCCTGCCCGATGGGGTCCCCCCATCGCCGAACGCGATGCGGCAACGCGGCGCCTTGCGGGTTTGGCGTCCAGTCCCCCCGCGGCCGCCCCAAAAGCCGCGCACCAGAGGTCACTCCTGCCCAGGGCCACTCTTGCTTGTAGTCGAGTAAGACGGGGTTCAGGAGAGGAAAAAGCACACAGACACAATTGATCGTCGATTCCCAAGAAGATATCGGAAAACATGGGGGGTGGGGGGGAAGGCAAAAACCGAGAAAAAATTAGAAAATATGGGGGATCCTGATATCTGTGTCTATTCATTTGTGGGTCCCAGGGCCCCTTCAGGGGTGGGAGTTCCTGGAACCCGGGGGGTCACCGCCCCCGGCGCGCAGGCGCCTCGGCGGCGTGCCCCCGCGACGCGGCGAGCCCCCCCCGGGGGCCGGGGGGGGGGGGGCTCGTCGGGCTGAGGGGACAGGCCCGAACGACTCGCTGAGGGGGGGGGGCTCGTCGGGCTGGGGGGGCTCGTCGGGCTGGGGGGGGGGGGGGGGGCTCGTCGGGCTGAGGGGACAGGCTCGTCGGGCTGAGGGGGGGGGCTCGTCGGGCTGAGGGGGGGGGGGGCTGGGGGGGGGGGGGGCTCGTCGGGCTGAGGGGGGGGGGGCTCGTCGGGCTGAGGGGACAGGCTCGTCGGGCTGAGGCGGGGGGGGGGGCTCGTCGGGCTGAGCTCCACGGGGCGGCAGCGTGCTGCCTGGACGCAGGCTTGTGGAGGTCTTGTTGTTCTTGTTGGTCCTGCTTTTTGCTATATATGTAATTATGTATAAGCGTGCTCTGCTTCTGCGCTGAACGACTCCTGATCACGATGCTGATCGTTGTTCCGAGCGAGACGGTCTGTTATGTGTTGAGTTGGGCTGCGTGCGACGCGCCGTGTTGCGTTGTTGTTTTTGTTTGGGCATCTTGCCCCAACGCGTGTTGTGTTTTGCTCTTGTTGCACGTCCAGGTCAGTCGAGCCGCCGCGTTGAGTTTGTCGATGCGTTCGGCGTGCGTTTATTGTCTAGTTGGTTTATGATGTTGCGTTGCGTGTCCCCTTTCGTTTTGCTTTCCCTCCTTTCCGTCGCCATCCCCGTTCGTTTTAGCTGCCTTTCCTTCGTTTTACCGTTCTTTCTTTTCGTCTGACCCTCCTTCCTTTCCGTCCCACATCTGGACCTCATTTCTTTTCCGTTTGAACCCCACACCTTGAGTTGTATTTTATTTACCTTTCGTTGTGCCGCCTTCCCCTTCGTTTTGCTCTGCTTCCCTTTCGTGTTCCCCTCCTTTCGATCCGTTTCACTCTCCCTCCCTCTCGTTTTGCCTCCTCTCCCTTTGTTTGAAAGAGCGCGTTCTGTGGTCGCTTGGAGGGGGGGGGGGGTTGGAACTGGACCCCCCCCTCCCTTCCTCCCTCCACTGCTTCCCCTCTCCTCGGGCCGGCGCTTGCGTCGGCGGCGGCTGGCGGCGGCGGCGGGGACGACGATTTCCTTTTCTGGGCCGGCGCCGGCGCTTGCGGCGGCGGGCGGCGGCGGCGGGGAGCGTCGACGAGGACGACGGTGGTGGTGGTGGTGGTGGGTTGTGGTGATGGTGGTGGCCGCGGTGGTGGTTGTGGTGGTGGTGGTGTGGTATGTTGTGGTGGTGGTGGTGGTGGGGGTGGTGGTGGTGGTGGTGGTGGTGGTGGTGGTGGTTTGGTGGTGGTGTGGTGGTGGTTGGTGGTGGTGTTGGTGGTGGTGGTGGGTTGTGGTGGTGGTGGTTCGGTGGTTTGTGGTGGTGGTGGTGGTGCGGGTGGGTTGTGGTGGTGGCGGTGGTTTGTGGAGGTTGTGCTAGTGGTGGTGGTGGTGGTGGCGGTGGTGATGGTGGTGTGGTGGTTTGTGGTCGTGGTGGTGGGTTGTGCTGCTGGTAGTGGTGGTGATTGTGGCGGTGGTGGTGGTGGTGTGGTAGATTGTGGTGGCGGTGGTGGTTGTAGTGGTGGTGTGTTTTTGTGGTGGTGGTGGTGGTCGTGATGGTGAGTTGTGGTGGTGGTGTTTGTGGTGGCTGTGGTGGTGGTGCGGTGGTGGTTTGTGGTGGTGGTGGTGGGTTGTGGTGGTGGCGGTGGTTCGTGGAGGTGGTGCTTGTGGTGGTGGTGGCGGTGGTGGTGGTGGTGCGGCGGTTTGTGGTGGTGGCGGTGGGTTGTGCTGCTGGTAGTGGTGGTGGTTGTGGCAGTGGTGGTGGTGGCGTGGTAGATTGTGGTGGTGGTGGTAGTGGTGGCGGGTTTTTGTGGTGGTGGTGGTGGTGGTGGTTGTGATGGTGGGTTGTGGTGGTGGTGGTTGTGGTTGTGGTGGTGGTGGTGGTGGCTGTGGTGGTGGTGGTGGTGGTGGTGGTTGTGTGGTGGGTTGGTGGTGGTGGTGGTGGGTTGAGGCGTTGGTGGTGGTGGTAGTGGTAGTGGTGGTAGTGGTGGTAATCGTCGCTGCGTCCCCGCCGTCGCCGGCGCCAGGCCCGGCCCTTCCTTCCGCTTCGCGACTTCTTTGACGGCGCGCAGCTGCCTGCGTCACTCGCGAGCAAAAGAATATCCCCACCAGGCCAGCCAGGTACGATGCACAGGCGACTGCCTTGATCAGGGAAGCGCACGAGCAAGCAGTGGAAGAACGAGGGTGGGTAGCCGCCAAACCGAAGCAACCGAAGCTGCGGGATCAGGCCCAGGAGTCAACCACAAAACACAAGATAGGCCTTCTTGGGGGCATCTGGGGGCCTTTGGGGCTCCCCTGGGGCCCTCTTGTCATCGAGGAGAAGAGAACCCCCAACCCTAATATCACAGTGAAGACGTGACCTCACTGAGGTCTCCCTCTTCGCATTAGGGATGATGCTTCAGGGCGGTGTGGTTCGACGCGTCTGCAGAAAAGACCACCCTGTCCATGATGTGCTTGGCCCTCCGAACGGAGGTCCCTCCCAAAGGGTTAGGGGTCCTCTTTTCGCCAATCCTCTTGGGGCTCTCTTGGGCCCTCCTCGGTGGCATCGTGCTGCTCACCGGAAGCGAATCGGCGAGACTGCCCAAAGCGTGGGTTGTCTCTTCCCTGACAGGGGAAGGCGGCCCGAGGGGAGGTCGCTTTTGGGGGGCGGCTCGGGAGGCTCCGTGCTCTCCTGAGGCCCGTCTTGGGGCTCCCTGGAGGCCTCGTGGAAGACACCCTGCGTCGTCTTGGGCGCCGTATTTCCATAGATCCAGCGTCGTGTTGAAAAAAACAAG